GATTGTTTTTCTAATGTTGAACCATCCTTGCATCCCTTTTATGAAACCAACTTAATCATGATGTATTATTTTTTTGATGTGCTGTTGGATTCTGTTGGATAGGGTTTTGTTGAGAATTTTTGTGCCTGTGTTCATGAGGAATATTGGTCTATAGTTTTCTTTTTTAGTGAAGTCCTTCCCTTCACATACCTTTTGGTATGAGGGTTATACTTGCTTCATAGAATGTATTGGGGAGTTTTCCATCCTCTTCTATATTCTGGAATAATTTGAGTAGAATTGGTGACAGTTCTTCCCTGAATGTTTGGTAGAACTCACCCGTGAAGCCATCTGGGCTTGAACTTCTTTTGGTTGGGAGTTTTTTAATGACCTAATCAATTTCTTCATTTGTTATGGATTTGTTCAAGTTTTCTACTTCATTCTGAGTAAGTTTAGGTAGGCCATGTCTTTCTAGAAATATATCCATCTCATTTAAGTTTTCGAATTTGTTGGAGTACAGCTCTTTATAGTATTGTATTATTATCCTTTAGATTTTGTTTGGTTCTGTTGTGACATCACCCATGTGTTTCTAACGTGAGTTATTTGTGTCCTCTCCCTCTTTTCTTTGATTAGTTTTGGCAATGGTTTGTCAATTTTATTAATCCTTTCAAAGTACCAGCTTCTTGCCATGTTCATTCTTTGTATAGTTTTTCGGTTTTCCATCTCATTTATTTCTGCTCTTATCATATTATTTCCTTTCTTTTGGTGACTGTAGGTTCCCTCTGCTGGTCTGCTTCCAATTGTTGGAGATGCTGCGTTAACATGTTAATTTTGGTTCTTTCCTCTTTTTGGATGTGTGCATTTATTGCAATAAATTGTCCTCTCAGCACTTCTTTTGCTGTGTCCCAAAGAATTTGGTATGTTGTGTTTTCATTCTCGTTTGTTTCTAGGAACTTTGTGAATTCATGTTTAATTTCTTCTTTTATCCAGTTGCTTTTCAGCAGGGTGTTGTTCAGTTTCCATTATTTCCTTTGTCTTCTTTTTGTTGATTTCTAGTTTCATAGCATTGTGGTCTGAAAAGATGCTCTGTAGAATTTTGATGTTTGTAAATTTATGGAGGCTAGCTTTGTGACCTAACACATGATGAATTCTAGAAAATGATTCATGCGCACTGAAGAAGAATTAATATTGTGCTGTTGTTGAATTGAATGCTCTGTGTACATCTATGAGGTCAAGTTGGTTGATTGTGTTGTTTAGCTCCTCTGTAACTTTGTCGAGTTTCTTTCTGGTTGTTCTATCCCTTTTCGAAAATGGTGTATTAAAATCTCCCACTATAATTGTAGATTTATCTATTTCTTTCTTCACTTCTAGTAAGGTTTGCTTCATGTATCTTGGTGATCTTTCATTGGGAGCATAGATATTTATTATGGTTATGTCATCTTGCTCAATTGACCCTTTGATCATGAGATAGTGTCCTTTGTCTCTTATGCTGGTTTTTTATCTTGAAGTTTACATTGTCAGAGATTAGTATAGCCACTCCTGCTTGCTTATTCTTGCAGTTAGCCTGGTAATTTTTTTCCCATCCTTTAACTTTTAGTCTGTGTTTGTCATTATGTGTAAATTGTGTCTCTTGTAGGCAGCATATTGAAGGGTCTTATTTTCTTATCCATTCTGCCACTCTCTGTCTCTTCACTGTTGCATTCAATCCATTGACGCTCAAAGTAATTATTGATAGGTAAGGTATGAGTTAATTCCTGCCATTATGTTACTTTTTTGGTAGTGCTGTTCATTCTTTTGTTTGGTTTGTTTGTTTGTTCTTAGTGTTCATATTTGCTTGTTCTGCTTAGAAGTTCATTTTCATGGTAAGTTGTGAAGTATTTACATTCTTTAGGGTTACCTTATAGTCTACTAACTTTTATTTCCCTTTAAGAAAATCCATTGTATCCTGTAATTTATCTGGTATCCTCACCACTTAGATCTCTGCTGCTATGTTTGTCCCTTCTTGACAGTGATATAATTTTGATCTTTGGTTGTCCTCCCAGCTCCCTTGAGTTTGTTGTTGTAGTCATGTTCTGTTCTGGACTCTGCTATCCATTGACTGAGTTCTAGGTGGTGTTGCCATACCTGTCAATCTCTGGTTGTTGTCTGCTCTTGTTGGTTTTCTGTACACAGAACTCCCTTTAGGATGTTTTGAAATGCTGGGTTGTTTTTGACAAAATCGCTCAGATTCTGTTTATCATGGAATGTCTTGATCACCCCATTGTATTTGATTGACAATTTTGCTGGATAGATGAATATTGGTTGGCAGTTTTTTTTCTTGAAGGATTTTGTATATGTCTCCCCATTGCCTTCTTGCCTGCATGGTTTGTTCTGAATACTCAGAGCGTAATCTGATTTGCTTGCCTTTATAAGTGACATTTCTCTTCTCCCTGGCCGCTTTCAGTATTCTCTCCTTTGATTTTGGAGAGCTTGATTATTATATGTCTTGGTGACTTTCTTTTGGGGTCTATCCTTCCTGGGGTATGTTTGGCTTCTTGAATGTTTATCTTCTCATCTTTCAGGATGTTAGGGAAATTTTCTTCCAGAAGCTTTTCAACCATCTCCTCTGTGGACTTCTCTGATTCTTCCTGTTCTGGAATACCAGTAATTCGTCTGGTGCTCCTCTTCATGTTATCCAGCATGAATCATAGGCTCTCTTCAGATTTTGTTATAGTTTTTTTCCACTTGCTCTTCTATCTAACAGTATTGAGAGATTTGTCTTCCAGCTCGCTAATTCTGGCTTCCATCTCTTCTATTCTGCTCCTTTCCCCTTTCAGTGTATTGTCCATTTCTGATATCTTATTATTAATCATCTGGACATCTTTTTGCGGGTTTTGAATTTTTTCCAATGCTGTATCAATCTTACTTGATAGCTCTTGTAGTACTTTCCTGACTTCTTCCTTGTTTTTCTCCACCCCTTTTTGGAGCCTTTGAATTTGTTTCCATATCATTCTTCTGAATTCTTTCTCAGGCATATCTAAAACCTGCTCTTTCTCTTCTAGAAAGCCCTTTTCTGTCTCCAGCTCATTTGTCCCAGCTACTCTCTTGTTTTTGGACATGTTTCGATATCATTTTTTTTATTAATTATTTCCAATAGTTATGTGTTGTTGTTGTTTTTTAAAGCTTAATTGAATGTTTGTTGTTTGTTATTAAGCTTACTGGGAGTCGCCTAGTGAATATGATCAGGAGATAGGCTTCCCTTTTCGCATGTAATGCTTAGCAGGTATTGTGGCTCTGGTCTCAGTGGTGGAATATAATGGGGTATGCTGATAGCTTGGCTATATGGCCACAATTGCTGTCTTTTCTTGGGTATCATAGGGAGAAAAGGCTCCTGCCTCCAGGAAAGATATGTGATCAAAAGGACCAAAAACAGAATTAATATAAATGCAGAGACAAAAGCCACCACTTTGGAACAGAAATGAAGCTGTGGTTGACTGTCCTGAGCTATACAGTCAGTGTGTGTGCAAGGTAGAAGCCTCCTGCAGTGGGATGGATGAGGGTATCCACTCATTCAGGCCCCTCCTCCAGTCACTACAGTAGAGGTGCGTAGGTAGATATTGAGAAGTTAATGGGAGAAAGATTGTCCAGTATTTTTGTCTCTGAAGGTTAGTTAGCGCAGTTCTCGAGATGGCTGAGACCTTTTTTGCTGAGGTTTTACAGATTGTATTATAAGGGTCCTGCAACGGAGCCCAGATAATGTAGCAGCCACAAATGGGGCCACAAACCACAAGGTCAGCAGCTCAAAACCACCAGCCGCTCAACAGGAGAAAGGCGAGGCACTCCGCTCCTGCAACGATCCACAGCCCCGGAAACGCTGCACAGGGTCTTAGGCACACAGCCACCAAGGGTCTAGCGCAAATCAATCTTAGGTCTGTGTCTGTGGCTGACATCATTAGTGGCCCACAAACTCCCTCTCTTTGTACTGTGGGGTAACTGGGGGATCAGGGCTGTTTTTTTGAGGGTGCATATCTACCCACCTGATGGTATCCTGGCTGAGTGAAGAAGGCACTCCAGGGAAGATGTGGAAGAACTGTGTAGGCTCCTGCACCTCTTTATGCAAGTGTCTCTGAGCCACTTTTAGAGCAGGTTCACTGAGCTGGAATGGCTGCAGCCCCACTCTCTAAACTCTGATGGGGTGGGGGGTAGCCACAGAGGGAGTCCCATCTCCTGACTCGCAGTATTTTCCTTAATATCATTATTTTTTCACTTGCGAGTGTGGGAAACTGACGTCCTGGACCTTATTGTAGATCCAGAGCTCTGGAGTTCTGTGAATGCTTCTTGAGTGAGATCTCAGTCCCTCTCTAGCACCGAGATTTCCCTACCTGACTTTCTCCACTGCCACCAAAACTGGAAGTCTGTATAGTATCTTGAGATATCATTAGCTTTTTCTCTAGTGTAGTATTTGATGAGTGATCACCAAGCTCTTAGATATTTGAGCTGAGATATAAAAGGAATGCTTTTGACCTCAAAACTCCAGATAAATGTGTCAGTGCTTTTGTTCACTGAGCAAATATCTCAGTCACCTCTTACTTCAGTTGACAGAGAACAAAGAAAAATCATTTCCTTAGAGTTATATTCCAGGAAAAGGGTTAGAAGATCTAAGTATATGTCTTGATTCTTGTTAAAATAACTTATGGTAGAAGTCACCAACTCTGGGGGAATTTTATCTCCTTATACTTCAAATTTTCCTAACAGTTCAATGTTTCTGAACTGGCTTTATTAGATATTAAAAACCAAAGCCATTATGTCTAAATTCTTGAGCAGGACAAGTTATCTTGTGAATCCTAACTTTTGGAGTTGGAGTTATATATTTTTTTAAATACTCTCCTATACTGTAAGCTTGTAATAAAGTAAACTGATGAACTAAAGGGCAGTAGAAAGAAAATATACATGTACACATTTGTTACAGAATGCACCACTATTGTAAGTATTGCAAAAAAAATCTGTTTATTAAGTAACAACTCAGTGTTTTCTTGTTACTCCAGATGAAAGAAGCAAATGGAAACCTGCAAGAGGATGAAGAAGACCCAACTGCAGATTCTACATTTCAGAGCCACATCATAGGTAAAATGCCTGTCTTGATGCATCTTTCACTCTGAGATATTCTTTACATGCCTACTTTCAGACATGCTTTCTTCCTGGAGACCACGTTGTAGGTCTATCTCCTAAGAGACTGAGTCGTAACTGTTCACACGTGGTCATTATCCGTGTCTTCTTCAATGCTGAGAGGTACCATAAAACAAGTGAGTCAAAGCAGCCTGAATAAAACAAGTGTGTTTCAGGTGGTAACTCTAGGCAAATGAATGGAATACAAACTGATGACAAATGAACATTTGTCAATATAAAAGTGATACTGAGTATAGATCTCTTTTCTCTGAGAAGGATATCAGCTTTGACTCAATCTTGTTTCTTTAATTGTGTGCTTTTCAGAAGCATCCATTGTAAACACTGATTATTTTAAAATAAGGGGTGATAATTAACTCCCTTAAATCAATTTTCTCAATTGAGTAAGTTTTAAACACAGAACCAAATTGATGAAGTATAGTTTGTCATTATCTTCAGCTCATGTTTCCTATCATTTCTGTGAGAACCCTGATTATGGATATATACCTGATCCTGTTTGACATATGTTTGACTCCTCAGCTATGTCTTAAAATGTAACATAAGCCCAGACTGATGTAACTGAAGTTCCCAACGCAAAGGGACTTTGCTGTCATGTTCTCAGCAGCAGGGCAGGAACCAGTGATATAGAAGCTGTCTGTGACTCTGATCCTTGTCAGGAGATAGAAATGATGATAATTTAAGAGCTCTGGGCCACCCTGGACACTTGCAGAATTAGTTGTTCCCCAGGCTCTAAAATTAGCTGTGAATGTGCCCGCGTTGATTATTTAACTCTAGATTAGACACCAAAACATGTTGACATCATTTCTCCAAATCATGTTTGGATGTAGTAGATTGTATTTGAGTATCATGTGACAGGATATGTCAGCCCTCACAGACTTCTGGCATGATCGCTGTCCACTGAGCCCGTGTATTTACTTGAGTTCCTTTACTTGCCACCCTTCAGCTTCCCATTGCTCTTGACGCCATGTTGCTACACTTGCTGCCGATTTTCTAATGTACCAGATGTCTACAAACTATAATTTACAGTTTATCTCAGATAATTGTTGTAGCCCACAGTTTAATGAGACTAGCATGCCATTATTATTCCTTTGATTTGTAATTAGGAATACAAAAGTCTTAGCAAAGAGCACTCATGAAGTCTGGATAAGATTATTATTCCAAAAAGACACCTTGTATTATAGTTACCAATGTAAGTACATACATTAGTATCAGTTTTGTGTAGCTAGTTAATATGCAGATTAAATATTCTTTAGCAGGCTTCAAACATGACACTGTGTAAAATCCTGCTGAGTCATCGTTTTTCCATAATGAGGTATTCTTGGGTCTGTAAAATCACATATAAAGCTTGTTGTTTTTGTGTGTCAAGGTGACTCCAACTCACAAGGCTGTAAATCTTTTCAGAAGCACAAAGCTTCATTATTTCTTCCTTGGAGCAGCTTTTGGGCTTGAACCACTGATCTTGTCCATTGCTTATCCTACAGAGCCATCACACTCCCCTATATAAAGCTAGAGGCTGAAATGTTCAAGACAGATACAGTCATGTAAGGATTTAAAAATAGACTAGTAATACTTACAAGTCCTGGTGTGGCACTGTAGGAGAAGAACTGGACTGCAAGGTCAGTTTGAACCTCAATGTCGGTAGTTCAAATTCACCAGCTGCTCCTCAGAAACCCTAAACAGGGTTGTTGTGATTTGGAACTAACACGACGACACTTAACAACAAAAATAACAAGCAATACTTAGGATCTCTACTGTCCAATGTGATAGTCATTAGCCACATGTGACTCTTAAGATTGAAATGTAACATAATAAGATAAAATACAGTAATTCAGTTCCTTGTTCACATTAGCCACTTGTCAAGTGCTGAGTGACTACATAGTCTGTATGTTCCATATGAACGTTTCTACCATCACAGAAAGCTCTGTTCAACAGAGGCTTTTTAGATAGCCTGCTGCCACTGTGTGCCATCAAGTCAATTCGTACTCATCGCATACCCCTGTGACAGGACAGAGCTGTCATCAAGAGGTTCCTAAGCTCTAACCTGTATGGGAGCAGATCACCATTTCTTAACTCCTGCAGAGGCACTGGTGAGTTCAGTTCACAGTTCAGCACTTAACCATTGTTCCACTTTTAGATTATTCTAATGAGAAGGCTGTGTGGCACTGTAGTATAAGCACTGGACTGCTAACTGCAAGGTTGGTGGTTCAAACCCACCAGCCTCTCCTTGGAAACGCTATACAGGATTGCTCTGAGCTGTAACCGAATTGATAGCACTTAACAACAACAACAATGGTAATAAATTTGGACCCTGATTTCTGACAGAGCTGACTTTTTCTTTGGATAAATGGAGATTTATCTGTTCAAAACTGTTAGGAACTATACTAATAAGTTGCTATTGTTGTTGTTTTAAGTACCATTGAGTTGGTTCTGACTCATAGTGACCCTGTATAGGGTTTCTGAGGCTTTAAATCTTCACAGGAGCAGAAAGCCTCATCTTTCTCCTGCGGAATGACTAGTGGGCTTGAATCTCGGGCCTTGTGGTTTACAGTCCAGTGCTTATCGTATGGAGCCACTGGCTGTGAATAAAACAAAACAGAAAAAACTGACTAACCATGACTGATAAAGTCATTTAATCATCTTACATAATTTGAAGTTTGGAGGAAGGCAAATATGAAGGTCTAGAATCTCAACCCTTGGCTCGGATTATCTGTTTCCTCTGTCATGTTATTATCTTTTTAACTTCTTATCTTCATGTTCATTGCCTCTGGATGCAAAATGATTTCTGTCATTCTGAATATCCCACCCCAATGAAGTGAAAATTATACCTATTCTTCACTTATTGACTATCTCAGTTGGTATTTCACATTTACAACAATTGTAAAAAAAATCTGTCCAAGTATTTTGCACATTAATAATGTACATGTGACAGTAGTGAGTGCAGAGGAGCTAAGAGAAAGTAGTAATTGGCTGTGATGCTTAAGATGATGTGTCCACATAGCTGGGCCATTATTCTCAATGGTTTGGCAATGATGTAATGATGTAATTTGGCAGTTGTGTAATGATGTAGTCATCCTCCATTTTTGCATAAACATCTGATCCTTGGACCCTAATCATGCCCATAAAAGTGAGGAGTGGATGTTTAAGGAAGAAGAAACTCATTCAGAATAGCCCTAGAGACTCCACATTGCATGCATGGCATTGGTGTGAACTAGAGCATATGGCCAATCCTAACTGGGAAAATAAGCTCCTTTTCAGTATCTGTCACAGGGTGTAAGGAGCCCTGGTGGTGCAGTAGTTAAGCACTCATCTGCTGTCCAGAATATCAGCTGTTCCACAGGAGAAAAGCAAGACTGTTCCCATAATGATTACAACCTTGGAAACCCTATGGGACAATTGTGCTCTGCCATACAGGGTCACTGGAGCTCTTGTGTGAAGATGTAGGATAAACACTGGACTGCTAACCACAAGGTCAGCATTTTAAACCCACTAGTCACTCCTTGGAAACGCTATACAGGGTCACTGTGTGTCAGAACTGACTTGACAGCATGTAACAACAGGGTATCTATGAGTTGCAATCAACTTGACATCTGTGGGGTTTTGGTGTCACATGACATAACAAGGAGAAAGGAGCTGGGCATATTTCCTGGGGTAGCCAATCAGCTGGGTCATCACAAACTCTGAAAATGTCATTCACTTCAGCCTGTCTGCCAAGTAAAACTGAATGGGACTCAACTAAGTGGATATTTATCTTTATTCCACAAGAATACTGAGATTATTTTTTAGCCCTCTGGCAGTCTTAATGTTTTTCATTTGTCTAAACTCTCACTGTATTTTATAACTACAGAATGTTTCCAAATAATACCAACTAAGCAAATTTAAATATATTCTTTTAACTAGTCTTTAGGTAATGTCTTTAACAGAGAATAACAGTCTGGAAATTTGTGAATTTGTGAATTGTGGTTGAGGTCAATCATGTTGATTCAGCAAAATGTTATCAGTTAATTATGAGACAGGTAATTATTAACTGAGTCTACTCTATATTGGAACTCAAGGTTTATGAATTAAGTAAAAGAATTCAACAAGATTTATTATTTTCTAAACTGATCTAAATCAAGGGAGCAATTTGTTCAAAAGACTAATGAATCACACGAAACTCATCTTAAATGACCCCAAGAACCACAGCTAGCTGGTGCCTAGTTCCTGTGACTGACTGCTCTGTCTGGAATGACAGTAGAGTCCCAGACAGAGTGAGAGATACATGTAGAATAAAAGCTCAAATTCACAAAAGACCAGATGTACCGGTCTGACAGAGAGTGGAGGAGACCTTGATACTATGGTTCTAAGGCACCGTCTCATCTGGAACTGGAGCCATTCCTTGAGACCGCCTTTCAACCAAATCATAGACAGGTTCATAAAATAAACAGTAATACCCAAAAGGAATATATTCCTTAGAACAGCTAATTAAGGACATCAAAAGGACAACAAAACAGTATGTTCTATAAATCTCAGGTCGATTACCCCTCCTTTGAGAAGTTTCACCTATCTCTGCTTGCTAAGTGAGGTCCACCCCTTTAGACACCACCCCAGTATAGTATAAGTGTTGGTGTTCTTGTCCTTGAGGATAAGGGTTATGCCATTTCCTTCTTTTAATCTGGCTCTTTGATCCCAAAAGAATGACCAACATATAACCAATTGCCATTAAGTCAGTTATAACTCATGGTGACCCATGTGCAGCACAGCAGAACTGTGTTCCATAGGGTTTTCAATGGCTAAGTTGTTGAAAATAGCTCACTAAGTTTTCTTCCGTGGTACCTCTCGGTGGACTTGAACCACTAACCTTATGTGCTAGCATTTACATCATCCAGAAACTGACTCCCACCTGGCACATACTCCAAAACCAAAACCACTGCTCCACTGAGTTGATTTCCAACTCATCTCAA